CCTTTGACCTTTTTGATGGCCACTTTGGCGCCACACAGTTTTGGCCACTTGGCTCACTCCTGAGGGCTGACTGGAAAGAGGATAAACTTGCAGTGATTGACTCCCGACAAATCATCGGTGTCACTTGCTGACTGTGCGTCCAGTTAGCGATGGACATTGGCTGCGGACTGGTAGGCCTCAATCACCTTCAATCGTCGCGAATGGTCACGTGCTGACTAAATACTGAGACGTACCCGTATCAGAGACCTCTATGTTGCGGCGTTAGCCGTCTATGTAGGAAGCGGGCTCTCTAGCAAAAACTATTTTGTCTACAGAAATTAGCTACTGTGGAGCATATTTCTACCAGCCATGGCAACCACGTAAGCTCAATTACGAGCCAATTTCAGTGTGCCTTTAAGCAAGAGGGCCTAAAAACGTAAAATTTAGGTGAACGAACTTATGGGACACCCTGTACTTCTTGTAAGAGAAGTATGTCAGGCTTCACGTCGCCAGCTCAAACGGTTCATGAATTATTCAAGAAAACAGGCGGGGGGGGGGGGGGGGTCGGATCCGAAAGGCGGTCGCGGTCACACGGGTTAACCCTCGCACGACCAGGCCATTTCTCATAACACGAGCGACCAGGGGGGGTTGTTACGACCCCCCCCCCCCTGGCGTTTCGAAACGGAAGGTCGTAGAGCTTAGCGGAAAAAACCAACGGATTGCTCTCAACGAGATCTCGCGATTGGTGGTATATTTTTTGGTCCTAAGTCAACATTTGACCTACTTATGACCGGTCAAAGGTCAAATTTTCCGAAAAAATCAAACTTTTTCAACTTTCCGCGGCGATTGCGGCAAAACGGTGGGAGATATCGACTTGAAACCTTCACTATCGTGTTCCTTGATCAATTCTCTATCGTTTGGTATGTATTTCGTTTCCCTAGCTCTAAAAATGGCGCGTTGGGAGCGCCGGAAGTCGGCAAGGTCACAGTAGGCGGCAGAAATTCGAAAAATCAAAATGTAAATTTTTGAAATCTGATTGTATTTTTGGATTTGGGAGGTCCATTTGCTTCCTATAGAAGCTAATATTGCTGCATATTCCCATTGAGGTGACAAGAATTAGCAAAATAGTGGTTAGGGCGCTTTTCAAAAATAGTACCGGACGCTGTTCCTCTTGTGACGTCATAGCTCCGTGACCTGACCTGACCCGGTCAATTTTCTTGCACCACACGATAGCCAATGCTTGCCCCAACATGCATGGGAAGTTTCATCATGATCCATCAAACAATGTGGGTATCACCGGCAGAAAACCTAGGGATTCGGCGCACACGTTTGGTAACTGTCGGCCGGAGGCTGTACCTCTTATGACGTCATAACTCCGTGACCTGACATGACCCGATCAATTTTTTTTTTCGGCAAAAGATGCGCAAAGGTTGCCCCAGAGGGTATTGAAAATTTCAGCCCGCTACGACAAGCCGTTTAGCGTGCACTTCGAAAAAACCTCAGGGGGGTGATACAACCCCCCCCCCCCCCTAGGCGTTCTAGGGTTAAAATCAGGCTACGTAAAGTTGCAATGCTTTTAATCGCTTTAAGTCAACCGCTTTTCACGCAATTTATTTGTGAAAACAAGGGGTCGGATCAAAGGACCATCCGCCCCGTCCCCACCCCATTAGTGCCAGGTTCAACCGTATAATGGTTGTTTTACACCTAAGCTTGTGATAGTCGTAGACCTTTAGTCACTCTTTCTATGAAAGTCGATGTGATTACTAAAAAAAAAAATGTGCATAATTACAGCAATGTCTATAGGTACAGGCGCAATTATCAACCGTAAATTAAAATCCGAATCACTATCTCAAATATACCCAATATCGGATATAAACGTAAAGCACAGTTGGTAGGTACGTACCTACTCCGCCATCCTGAAATCATCAGGGTGATTCTGCCCCAATTAGGATCACGGCTACCACACCGAAAGCCTGCCTACGTTCGCTAGTGTTCAAGTTGCTCTAAAAATGTGATCAAATATCCTCAGCTCATCAGACTTCTTCATCTCCCGTCTCCCACTCCCCCACCCCCATCAGTTCCTCATTTTGTTGTCAACGAATACACACACAAGCTCAGTTCAAAATTATATTGGTGTCACAAAGGATTTCGAACGCACCCAAATATACAAAAATTTAGACTCTCGCAAGATGACTTTACGTCGCTATTTCTATTAGTGCTTCCTCTTGCTGCGCCTGCGCTTCTTCTTCGGTGCTTCACCATCAGCCTTCTTGCCCTTCCTTCCACGACGCTTCTTTCCTCCTTTCTTCGCCTTCTTGGCTCCACCGGCCGACTTGCTGCGGCTACGCCTCTTGCGGCTTTTGCTGCGGACAGTGCGACGACGTCCACGGGTTCGGCCAGTTGCCATCGCCACCAGCTCGACGGGCGCTTCAGTCTCCATTTCAGTCGTGTCGGCTACCAGTGAGTCGTTCTCACTCTCCATTTTGACAAAAAAACAAATCCAAGAAAAAACCTATGTGTCGCTCGTTATCCAACTCAATCCCAAATGACAGCATGTGACACTTTTCTTCGCTTGAATTTTAACAAAAATTCAACAATTACTCTCGTGCACTGCATGCATCAATTCGAACTAACATCCTTTACTTCCATAACTTCTGTAGCACAAAGGCCCTTAAAAAAGAAGAAAAATCTCTTATTTTTTAAAAGAACTTTAAGCACACGAAAACGTTTGTTAAACTGTGGTGTTCATTTTATTTTTATTTTATTTTTTGAAATAGCACAATGCCAACAACAGAAGGTAGGCATACAATAGATTTCGAAGTGTCATATATGAATGTTTTATACCTACACTATTCTTAAATGTAATCATATGAAAAACAAATATTATACCTACTGACTATATTTGAAAGTTGCCAATAAAAAGGAGTTAATGATGCAATCAATGCAATTTTGAACCAAGATAATCCTACTGTCAATTAAGATACATTTTTCATCTATCGAATATCGCTAGAAATAACTTCATGCGTTTACTTAATTTTGCTTACATTTCGAACTAAGGAAGAGACGTTTCCCACAACTAATGAGGCCTATGGTATTCAGTTAATATTTTAAGGGCATTCGAACAAGAATAACAAACGTTTGATCATGCTGCTCATTTAAGTGTATTTCCCAAGGTTTCGGAACCAGATCCGAAGTCGTAGTCTTTCGGGTCAAGGAAACAAGCAAGAAGTCGGAGTCGTAGGTAAGCAGAAAAGCTGCCTAGGCCCAGGCTACGGAACGTTGAAGAGAATCTTTTTGTTCGTTCATTAGGGTTTATGGGCGCGTCGACTGCGGTGGTCATTTTGCGCCCATAACGCTGTACTGGTAGAGCGGATATGTCAACAGAGAACTGACGAACTGAATAAGACTAGAACTACTTGAGATACGTTATACTAGTAAAACGAGTATATCACAGGAAAACTGATGGATTGAATGTAAGAAAAGCCCTTGCTGCTTGGGGAAGGTTGTTACAAATGCCCATGCAAAATTTTGACTGTTAATTTCTTGTTGATTCAGAATTTTTGACAAAAAAGCATGGCTCGTACCTGTCAACGAACATTTGAGACACCCTGTACATCCCAGAAGTTTGAACCTCGGGCTGTTGCATGAGGAAATCAATAAAAAGAATTCCTATACCCCGGAATTTTGATATCGGTGACCTAAGGTCGGGTCAAATTTGCGACCTCTCCCATTACCTATAAGTCAATGGGAGAAATTAAAATGCTCTCCTTTTAGCCGAAAATACCATCAAACATCGGGATACAGGTGAACATGACACACTGAATTGGAAAATTGCACCTTCGACCCCTGAAGTCATATTCTAGTCATGAAACGTCTCCAACAATTCTTTGACAAAAACTTTAGATAAAAACATGCTAGAGCGCTGAAAACACTATCGATGCGTTCAATTCAACCATATGAATTGATTGATATGCAGCATGACCTACTCTGTGGCATTGACCCGAGGTCAAATTTTTTAAGTGACCTTTCAGGTCAATTCATTCCGAACTCACTAGTGCCTTTCCTGACCCGCTAATTAAATTTATTCGGGAGTTACTGGCGAGAAACTCTGATGACCATTCCAATGACGTCATACATGACTTCGTGCAAATTGATAATGCAAAACAGTATTGGACTTTGCGACGACAATGTGAATCACCATAGCCGGACCGTGTTTGAGATCGGATAAGATCACTTTTTCAGCCGTAAATAAACAGCTGCCATCTCCCCCCCCCCCCCCCATCGAGGTGGAGTCGGAAAGCCAAACCAACGGCCGACCTCAGATTATTCTAAATAAAAATATGAAATAGGTATATAGCCGTTGAAACTCTAGAGCCTGTCACTCCGTAAAGTTTCATCTGCCTGCAAGAGATTTCCTGACATTGCGAGCATCGTGATGTAGCCACATTTTGGGACCGTGCTGAAGTTCCCTAAATATCAGGTTCTCCCAACTGTTAGCCAGAGAAGTCGGGTCAGCTGAGCTGAAAATACAGTTGGTGCCAAAAGATCCGGGCTGAATCACAAATTGGAGTATGTCCAATGTCTATCTCTAACGCCTTCTGAGCAGTCACAAAAAATCGCTAAGGGATATCTGCAGCACAGCCCGTCGACCTGGGACCGCAAATCAGCGGCGCTGCGGCCTGGCGAGAAAAAAAAAACACCCAGGCAACGGAGCATTGAACAGTATGTGCTCTGTGGCGGCGAGTCCCCACTTCCCCCCATACCGGGTCCAGCACTCTTTTAATATCGGGACTAGCACTCGCCAGATACCGGGACCGGCACTCCTCGGATACCGGGACCGGCACTCCTCGGATACCAGGACCCGCACTCCTCGGATACCGGGTCCGGCACTCCTAGGATACCGGGTAAGGCACTCCACGCCCAGTGAGCGCATGGCGTGCCTCAGCACCCTGCGGTCAGCCCCCCCCCCCCTTCCCCAGAGGACCGCGTGCCCCGGCGCCGGCCGGCCGGCCGGAACGCACCTGGCGGGTCATCTGCAGGTGGCGCATCTTGTCGGTCATCAGGCCGCTGGAGAGGCGCCGCGTGCCCGGCTCGATGCCGAGCTCGAGCAGCCGCTCGCTGAGCTCCGACTCCAGCTCCTGACGCACCTGCGGACGGCCGCCGGCCGGCCTGCCGCAGATACACCGTGTGTCAGAGACCGGAGACGGCTACCTCCCCCCCCCCTCCCCCGGCCTGCCGCAGAGACACAGTGTCAGAGACGGCCACCTCCCCTACCCCGGCCTGCCGCAGAGACACAGTGTCAGAGACGGCCACCTCCCCCCCCCCCCCTCCCCCGGCCTGCCGCAGAGACACAGTGTCAGACGACTACCTCCGCTCCCCCGGCCTGCCACAGAGACACAGTGTCAGATGGCTACCTCCGCCCCCCGGCCTGCCGCAGAGACACAGCGTGTCAGAGACGGCTACCTCCCCCCCCTCCCCCGGCCTGCCGCAGAGACACAGTGTCAGAGACGGCCACCTCCCCTACCCCGGCCTGCCGCAGAGACACAGAGTCAGAGACGGCTACCTCCCCCCCCCCCCTCCCCCGGCCTGCCGCAGAGGGACAGTGTCAGACGACTACCTCCGCTCCCCCGGCCTGCCGCAGAGACACCGTGTCAGACGACTACCTCCCCTACCCTCACCGGCCTGCAGCAGACACACAGCGTCAGAAACGGCTACCTCCCCATCCCTCCCCCGGCCTGCCGCAGACACCGTGTCAGAGACGGCTACCTTCCCTCCCCCGGCCTGCCGCAGACATCGTGTCAGACGGCTACCTCCCCTACCCCGGCCTGCCGCAGAGACACAGTGTCAGAGACGGGTACCTCCCCATCCCTCCCCCGTGTCAGACACCGTGTCAGACGGGGCCGCAGCTGAGGCACAGTCAGTCCCATCCATTCCCGGTCCCCACGCCCGGCGCCACTGACCCGTTCCGTGTCAGCGCGTCCGTGGAGAGGGACTGGCGCGGCGCGGCGCGCACCATCGGCTCGTCGTCGTCGTCGCACTCCTCCTCGTCGTCGGCGAACTTGAGCCGCCGGCAGCCGGAGACGGAGCGCGAGCGGCCGTGGCGCGGCTGGGGCGCGATGCACGGCCGCGGCCGCTGCCGGCCGCCGCGGCCGGCCGGGCCGGGCGCCGCCGCCGGGCCCGGAGACGGCGACTGGTGCCGGTGCACGAAGCGCAGCAGGCGCGGCGACTGCGGCGACCGCTCCGCGCCGCTGTCCAGGTTGACGTACTCGGCGCTGCCTGCCGACGGAGCGGGGCGCGCGACTGAGGGACCGACGGCCACACAGCCGACACAGCGGTGGCCAAATCCACTCACTCGACAACTCCACACAGACACCGACCATCGCGGCCCAGCGGGTGACTACGGATTCAGATTCTACAGCTGTCACTGTACGGTGTCACGTTTAGAAACTGAGAACCCGAGTCCGCCGGTTAATCCGCGCCCTGGTGGGGTCTGATTTTAACGCAACCTGGTGGGAGGGGGAGGAGGCTATTCCCCTCCCCTTGTATCTCTGAAACCAATGGACGGATTTACAAAAATCAAGAGCGTTCGATAGCCCTGTAAAAACTGTCGAGAGGAAAGGTAATTTCATTGACCTCTGGGTCACCGATGACGTCACAGGTCAGATCAAAGTTCGCATTTTTCACCGTTTACGGATCGGGGCATCAGTTTTAGAGGTAATGCGAAGCCAGTCACGTACCGCGCGTGGCCGCGTTCTTCTCGTTGAGCATTCTGCGCATGCCCTCGACCTCGGCGTCGTGGCGCTGGCGCATGGCGCTTAGCCGCTCCTGCCAGTAACGCTCCTGGGCCTCCATCTGACCCTCCAGCGCCACCACGTCGCGCCGCGCCTGGCGCCACACAGGTCATTGTAAGGTCACACGGGTCACGGTGGGTGACGAGGGTCACGGTAGGGGTATACGGGTCACGGTGGGTCACACGGTGGGGTCACGGTGGGTCGCAGTGGGGTCACGGTGGGTCGCAGTGAGGTCACACGGGTCGCGGTGGGTCTCAGCGGCCCGGCTGTCTGGCCGCCCGGACGTACCTGTTTCTGGATCTCCTGCTCGACCCGGTTGACCGGCTCGGGTGCTGGCGCCGGCGGCTCGGCGCCAGCGCCGCCCAGCAGGGTGGGAGCGGCCGGTGCCGCCGGCACCGCCTGCCGCTGGCGCTCCAGCTCCTCACGCAGCTGGCGGCAGGGGCGCGGGACGGTCACACTTGTCTCTGACTGAGCGCAGCCGCCAGCCGCCAGCCGCAGCCGGATCTGTCTAAAAGTCGGCCGTATATACATCAGCGCATACAAACTCAGCACTTTCAGATAAATGGCATACGAATAAAAAAAAACTGATCTTTCAATATATTAATTCGAGTCACGTGTAAATTGTTAACTTGCATGCAAAGCCATCAAGCGTGAGCAGTTGGCGTTCAGCGATCGATGTCCGACTGTCATTCAGTTCCACCACCCGCCGCACACCGTCCAGCCAGGGCTGGCGACGGCGACGGCCACTCGTGTCTGATCTCGGCCAACCGCCCGAGTCCGCCCTACCGACCTGTCTGATTTCGGCCACCCGCCCGAGTCCGCCCTACCGACCTGTCTGATCTCGGCCAGTGGCCACCCGCCCGAGTCCGCCCTACCGACCTGTCTGATCTCGGCCCCCCGCCCGAGTCCGCCCCACCGACCTGTCTGATCTCGGCCACCCGCCCGAGTCCGCCCCACCGACCTGTCTGATCTCGGCCGCCTGCTGCTCCAGCAGCACGGCCAGCCGGGAGTCCTTCTGCTCCGCCGAGCCGCCGCCGGATCCGGAGCCCTGCCGGGACGCACCGCCCGAGTCCTGCCGGGAGCCGCCTCCAGATCCGTGCCGGGAGCCTCCGCCGGAGCCCTGCCGGGAGCCTCCGCCGGAGCCCTGCCGGGAGCCTCCGCCGGATCCGTGCTGGGAGCCGCCTCCAGAGCCCTGCTGGGAGCCTCCGCCGGATCCGTGCCGGGAGCCGGAGACGGAGTCCTGCCGGGAGCCGGCTGGCTCCGGCTCGTCCGGCGGCGGCTCCGGCTCCTCCTGGCGACAGGCGACGGGACGGGACGGGTCAGGGGACGGCATGCCGCGCCAGCTCTCTCAGCATCCTCGGAGACGGGGTCAGTCTGCAGAGCGCGCCGAGGACTGGTCCTGAGCCGCACCGTCTGCCCTCACCTTGATAGTGTGGTGGTAGGGCGCCAGCTCGGCTGCCTCGTCCGGCTGGTAGGCGCCGGCGCCGGGCTGCTCGAGCGCGGCCACGCGCCGGCGCTCCTCTCTCAGCTGTTGTTCGGCCACCAGCAGCCGGCGCCGGACCTGCTCCAGCTCAGCCTCCAGCGCCGCCGCCGCCGCCGGCGAGCTCTGCGAGCGCGCACAGACATAGACACGTCAGCACGGGCACAGCAGCACGGGCACAGCAGCACGGGCACAGCAGCACAGTACTGCTGTTACCGTGCACAGCAGCACAGACACGTCAGCACAGACACAGCAGCACAGACATAGCACTGCACAGACACATCAGCACAGACACAGCAGAACGGGCACAGCAGCACGGGCACAGCAGCACAGTACTGCTCTTACCGTGCACAGCAGCACGGGCACGTCAGCACAGACACAGCAGCACGGGCACGTCAGCACGGGCACAGCAGCACAGGTACAGCAGCACAGGCACATCAGCAGGGGTACAGGCTGCAGCACAGGTACAGCAGCACAGGCACATCAGCACGGGTACAGCAGCACAGGCACAGACACAGCAGCACAGACACAGCAGCACAGACACAGCAGCACAGACATAGCAGCACAGACACAGCAGCACAGACACAGCAGCACGGGTACAGCAGCACAGATTCAGGAACACATATAAATCAGCACGAACAGATCAACACATAGACACAAAACACATCAACACAAAATAATAAACACTCAACACACACGGATCAATGCAAACATATCAACACGTCAACACACATACGCCTCCAGCTTCGATCACCCCAGCACAGTGCGATCAGTGCTCCCCCTCCACGCCGTGCCCGCCGTCCGGCCCGCTGCAGACGGAGCCGTGCCCCCGCCGTGCTCGCCGCCGCCGGCCACCGACCTGGTCCTGGATGACGGTGGAGAGCGTCTGGTTGCTCATCTGTTTGCCGACCATGTGGTTGTGCCGGCGCATCATGTGCGACTGCAGGTAGGTGGTGTTGATGAACACCTTCTGGCAGAACTGGCACTGCGCGCACAGACGGGGCCTCGTCAGGGAGCGGCCCGCCGCCCGGCGCGGCGGTCCACACTGCCCTCAGCTGCGCACTGATCAGCAGACAACACCGTTACTTTGCGTGGTACTTTTAAGACAGACTGGACAACACACCGGCAGCCCACACTGCTGCCACCGATCGCCATCACAGGACGTCAGTCTGTTGGCGGCGGCCGCCCCCCGACTGCGGAGGTATACACATTACACAAAGCACACACGGCCCTGACAGCTGACCGAAAATACCAACAATTGCGGGCAGCCGTGGCGAATAGTGGCAAGTCGAGAAATTCAGCCGCTGAAACGGCGGACAAGACCGATCAGGTCTTCCCTTAGGGAATGTGTCTGTCACATTGCAAGGATTACAAGTACCAAGGATTATTTTTGCACAAAAAACGATACCCGCTAAATGCGAAGGGTTGAGTAGCATGCCACTATGAACTCCAAAATAGGGTGGAGACTTCCATTTCGCGTCTAGCTGGACGGCAGCTGCGTCTATCTGGCGACGGCTAAATTTAGACGCGTCTAGCTTGGAGGTCTCCGTCCAACAGTCAGACGCAAAGTTAGACGCCAACTTGGACGTCTGCTCAGTTGGACGCCAGTGGAAATCTCCACCCATAGCCGTTAATCAGAACGGTATCCGGGACGGGGGGCGCTCCGCACTCCGGCGGCGGCGGCACTGACCCGCTGGTGGCCAGTCAGCGTCATCACCGTGGAGCTGGCCGGCGCCCTCAGCCCCTTGCGCAGCTCCCTCAGCTCCTCCTGGTCGCGGCGGGAGCGCTGGCGCGCAGACTCCAGCTCCTGCCGGCGGTGCACCCGACAGTCAGCAGTAGCCTGACGGTTAGCAGTGAGACAGTCAGCAGTAGTCCGGCACAGTCAGCAGTCCGACAGTCAGCCCGACAGTTAGCCCGATACAGTCAGCCCGACAGAGATCAGCAGCAGACAGTCAGCCCGACAGTCAGCCCAACACAGTCAGCCCGACACAGTCAGCCAGACAGTCAGCCCGATACAGTCAGCAGCCAGTCAGCAGAAGCCCGTCAGCGGCGTCCGCATCACAGATTCTGGACCAAATGAGGCACACTCAGTCGGATGCCCAATACATCAAACAAACATAAATCATGGTCCTTAAAAAGCAGACAAAGTTTAGCACAAACCTCTAGCATAAAGCTGTGAGAATCGTACTGTTTACTGAAAACCACCCCTGATCTCTGTGATAGTGCACAGTGCAGTAATTGGGGCAATGTCCGTGCCCGGCGCCCCACTGACGGCCGCGCCCCGCCGGCCGCGCCCCGCCGGGCTGACCGACCGACCTCCAGTGTGGAGTTGAGCCGCCCCCCGCCGGCCCGGTACGCCGGGGCTGACCGACCGACCTCCAGTGTAGAGTTGAGCCGCCCCCCCCCCCCCCCGCCGGCCCGGTACGCCGGGCTGACCGACCGACCTCCAGTGTAGAGTTGAGCCGCCCCTCCCCCCCCCCGCCCGCCCGGCACGCCGGCGACCGACCGACCTCCAGTGTAGAATTGAGCCGCTCCTCCACGCTGGCCAGGTTATTGGCCAGGAAGTCCTGGCTCTGCAGCAGGTACTCGATGATCAGCTGCGCCATCCGGAACACCTTGACCAGGTTCGGGTCGGCCGCCTCAGAGTCGAACTCTTTGCCGGCGTCGCAGTAAGTGATCTGGCGGATGCTGTCCTGCAGCGCCTTGTAGTCGACCGTTTTGGCGATCTGATCCACATCCAGCGCCGCTGGAAGGTGGCGGAGGGGAGGGAGGGAGGGGGTGGGGGTGAGCGAGATGACTCATCGCCGCACCGCCGCGTAGAATGCATCGTAACACCGTACATTCTGAGGTCACTGAGGCGGATGAGTAGCGATTCGCAGGTGTTCCCAGAACAAGTTTTGGTGCTAAACATAACCAGATTATCCTTTCATCAAACATGCCCCTGACTATTCAAGCATGTTCCACCTAACTTCAGACGTGTCAGTTAAAACACCTACCGAGCTTCTTCCAGTCGAGTTTCTCCTCCCGCCTCCTGAAGTGGAAGTTGGGCCGGTCCATGGCGATGCACAGAGTGCTGTGTCCCGCGCAGCTCGGTCAGTAAGGAGGTCCGGTCAGTGTGAGTCGGCCCGCGTCTAGTGCAGCTCAGTCAGCAGGTCCCGCAGGTGCGGGTCACTGACAGCCGTGTCGGCGCACTTTCCCAGCGCCTGCGCTAGTTTGGCGGCCAGCAGGTGTTTGCAGAGCGGCTGGTCACCACTGCGAACACACGGCGACGCCACGTCAGCACCGGCCTGCAGCGCGCCACAGGCCCACATACAACCCTGCCAAAACACGGACACATCGAGCGCGGATATCTGGGGCGCTCGGAATGGGCACAGAGTAGGCCTGCGGTGCCAAGCGGACGATACCCCTGAAAACATCAGCGTCGAGAACGGATGATTGTGTGTTTAGGGGTGCCGCAACAGTGAGGTCGTGTGGCGCACGGGTGACACCTCCCCTCCCCCGGCCCGGGCCCGGGCCACTGACCGCTGCAGCACCGTGTACTGGAACGCCGGGCAGGGGCAGAACGTCAGCGGCTGCGGACAGTAGTACCCTCCCCTCCCCGGGCCCGGGCCACTGACCGCTGCAGCACCGTGTACTGGAACGCCGGGCAGGGACAGAACGTCAGCGGCTGCCGACAGTAGTACCCTCCCCTCCCCGGGCCCGGGCCACTGACCGCTGCAGCACCGTGTACTGGAACGCCGGGCAGGGGCAGAACGTCAGCGGCTGCCGACAGTAGTACCCTCCCCTCCCCGGGCCCGGGCCACTGACCGCTGCAGCACCGTGTACTGGAACGCCGGGCAGGGGCAGAACGTCAGCGGCTGCCGACAGTAGTACCCTCCCCTCCCCGGGCCCGGGCCACTGACCGCTGCAGCACCGTGTACTGGAACGCCGGGCAGGGGCAGAACGTCAGCGGCTGCCGACAGTAGTACCCTCCCCTCCCCGGGCCCGGGCCACTGACCGCTGCAGCACCGTGTACTGGAACGCCGGGCAGGGGCAGAACGTCAGCGGCTGCGGACAGTAGTACCCTCCCCTCCCCGGGCCCGGGCCACTGACCGCTGCAGCACCGTGTACTGGAACGCCGGGCAGGGACAGAACGTCAGCGGCTGCGGACAGTAGTACCCTCCCCTCCCCGGGCCCGGGCCACTGACCGCTGCAGCACCGTGTACTGGAACGCCGGGCAGGGGCAGAACGTCAGCGGCTGCGGACAGTAGTACCCTCCCCTCCCCGGGCCCGGGCCACTGACCGCTGCAGCACCGTGTACTGGAACGCCGGGCAGGGGCAGAACGTCAGCGGCTGCGGACAATAGTAGGGCACGCCACCGCTGCCCAGCACGCGGTAGACGGCGCGTCCGGACGGCGCCACCAGCCGCGACACCGCCCAACGGTCGATCAGGTCGAGCGCAGGCTCGAGCAGCGCCGGGGCCACCGCCTGCAGCGCCAGCAGCAGCTCGTCGGACGCCGGCTGGTGCCGCTCGCGCGCCGCGCCCACCTGCTCCACAAGACAGTCGAGCACTGAGAGCACGTCGAGCATAGCCGGCGGCGCCGGCCGCGCACCTCCGGCCGCCCTGGCAGCGCCGTCGGCCGGCCGGTCCGGTGCTCGGGGCTCGGAGCCGGCGTCCGCCGAGCAGTCCTCTGGCCAGACACTGCAACAGGCGCCACAGGGAACCGTCAGGCTCCGGCACCCCGTGCGCCTTCCAACCCACCCTTCACACCAGTGGTCGGCAGGTCCTCCGGGGTCGTGCCCCATTTTGGGATGTCAGGCAGAGCCAGTACCCCCATCCACCATACCCCATTGCTGACAAAACAAAGGTTACTGAAATTCAATGCCCTTCGTGACTCTGAGTATTTCTGCACTTCCAACATAATTTAACCCTCGCAAGTGTGCGGCGTTTGCCAGCTTCTAATGTGTAGGGGGGGGGGGGGGGGTTTGGACCCCCCACCCCTTGCCGGTTGGCCCCTGATCGAGCTAGAGTTTCGCGGAAAAAACGAGCGTGTTGCCCGTGACGAGAGGAAGCCGATGGTACCCAATTTTAAGGTCCTAGGTCATTGGTTGACCTTCCATGTCAGGTCAATGACCCAAGGTCGGGAAAATCGGGACCTGTTAGAAAGTCGTAAAGTGTGGCTGCTAAGGGACTTTTCGGGGCGCTGATCACGAATATCGTGTTAGTTTTGATCACAGATGATGTCTTTAAGCATTTAGACCAGGTCGGGTCAGGTCAGGTCAGGACAACCAGTAGGCGTCGTGACGGGTATTCGTAGTAGGTAGGTACGTGTCAACCGCCTCTGACAGCTTCGTAACATGTTACGAAGTCACCAAAACTACTTCGTAAATGTTCAAATGGTTGCTAAATTCGAATTCAGCTCCAAAAACTAGCCCAGAAACATGTAAAACTCGAAAAAGTGAACCGAGGTCACCAAAGGTCAATAACCTGATCTGACCTTCAGGTGACCTTGACACCCACCCTAATGCATGGGAGCAACATCAAATCACATGTTTGAACGTTTGAAACCACGAAAAGCTTGCAAACGCGCGGCTAATGCGAGCCGACATACGCGGAATCGCGATTCCGGCCAAACATGGTCTCGGAAAAGAGGCCACAGCCCACAGGTTAAAGGTCATTTGGGTCAGGGTCATGAAATTTTCAGGGTAGGTGTAAAATTGACCAATCCGAGGGTACTGAAAGTTTCGTCGCGATCGGCCGCTTTTTACGCGAGTTATTCACGAAAAACCATGGGGGGATCCCCCTACACATGCGAGGGTTAAAACATAACAGTTACTCCACAAAATAAATCATGCGTCACATTTAACCCTCGTAGCTACTTATGGGGGCAGTGGCAAATCATCGCTATGAAATTACCCTAAACGCAAAATTTGTATTGGTGTAAATATCTCAAGAACTGGCGAGTCTAGGTAGCAACTTATCACAAACGGTTGGCAGCTGGCAGCACCTGAAACACCTGCTATATAAGATAACCAATTCAATAACATACGTAGGTAGGTACCCAGAGGTAGGCTCCACGGTATTTGTTCAGAAAAGGTCCGATCTACAATTGTGGGACAGTTGATATAAATATACAACAGCAGAAATTGTAGGTTGTAGGATGTAGGTTTTAGGTTGTAGAATGTGTTAGGTCCCAATAAACATGCCGACGTCGGCCCGACGTCGGCTCAACCTCGGCCCGACATCGGCTGGACGTCGGGTACGCCCGCATGTACCGACGTCCAGCCGAAGTCCAGCCGACGTCGAGCCGACGTCGGGCCGAGGTCGTCTGCCGAGGTTGACGAGATCATTCGTCGTTGGACCGACGGGGCCGACGTCGGCATGTTTATTGGGACAACACGCCAAAAATATCAACCGGCGGCGGGATTCGAGCCCCCCAGTCGCCGACGTCGGCATGTTTACTGGGACAAAGCGCCAAAAGCATCCTCCGGCGATGGGATTCGAACCCCGCGTCATTTGAACGCGAGGTTAGTGCGCTAACCACTACACCACGCAGCCAGATATCGTAAATAATTTGATTTGTTGCCTTATGCCCTTTCGGTCTGACAAGACCATTTCAGAGCCGGAAGGATGATAGGATGGAGACATTGGTCTTCTTGGCGAGCACCCTGGGTCCAGTTCATATAGAATAGAGTCCCATTGCTGTTACGTAACACTTATTGGAAAGGGCGACCCCACAAATGGATTCATATAGCCACCCTTACACACCTGCACCAACGTTTCCCAAAGTGTCCCTTTGATAAGTGGCACTTTGACAAAGTGACACTTGCTGACTGGCCTTTCTACGAGGGGGTATCGAAAAGTTCTGATCATCACCATGTATTAGATGTGATAGAAGTTTGATTTTTTTACATGATGTTCATTACTCCTTTACAAGTCACCACACACGACCGCAAACTTATTGCATCGTTTCTTGAGCTGCCTCAGGCGGTCATTGTAGGACCTTCGATCTGTCCCGTAAATCACTGCTCCACCTCATCAATGACGTCATTTCCGTCCTTAAATCACCGGCCATACTGTGGATTCTTCATCTCCCGTAACAATCAAGTGTCAGTTAATACCCGGTCAGGTGAAGTTCTTAGATGCGGTGGGATTTAATGGCCACATCATGTTGTTTCCTCAATCGCAGCTAAGGACAAATGGGCGGGGGCGCTGTCGGTGCGGATAAAACATCTTTCTTGGGCTTTTTTTGCGGCAATTCTGCTTGAGGCCATCTCGCAACTTCTTCAAAAGTGTGCAGTAGTGCTTGCTTATCACTATCCGACCATCATCAAGACAGTCGGTAATGACTATCCTATGCCAGATCCAGAACACTGATAGCATTGACCTTCCATATCGGCTTCTGCATCTTCGCCTTTCAAGAAGGACAGATGTGCCGTGCTTAAACTTCTTGATCGTCTTTTTGTCTCTGGATCATACACATAGACCCAGCATTCGTCACAAGTCATCGAATGATCGAAGATGTCTTCAATTTCCTAAAAAAGGCCTAGTTTTCGTTTCGAAAGGCCAAGACGCATTTTTCACTTGAACAAAGTAGACACACGAACTTCTAAGCGGCCTGACTCCTTTATCGTCCGTAGTTCTTCGCTGATAATATTTTCAGACACTGCCAGCATTGAGACCTTTCTGTTGCACAATCATCTGAAAGGTCAGATGACGATCTGTAAGGATGAGGTCCTCCACTTCCTTCACAGTCACCACCTTGTCAGTCACTGGTAGTCACTCACTTCTTGACACCCCTGCAAGGGCCATGCAACCAAGTTGAAAATTATTTCTTCATTTTCGGTAAGTGCATGAGATGGGCTTTCCTCGCCATAAACAGTTTCACGTTCTTGATGTATTTTCTCAGTGTGATATCGTTTCAAATGCATTAGTTGGATGACGGTTCGGTCCTCAATGGGCCCAATACTCATCTTTTTTACTTCTAAGTCTCGCCTACATAACATAAACCCACTTCTCAAGATGCTCTTTGCGGGAACATTGTTCTTAAGAACCAAATATAATACCAACCAAAAATCATCAAAATCGGTCTATATCTTCTATGTGATGATCAGAACTTTTCGATACCCCCTCGTATATGAACTGGGCCCGGCCCTGGTGAGTTGCCGGGGCTGAGCCTGACCAAAGGATCGGCCGAGCAGCCCCCAAGCACTCACCGCACCCGGCTACGGGCGAGCTCGGCTTACGGGCAATCCCAAATGAGATGAAGTTTCCCGTCCAGTCCGGATCATGGGGTTGCGGCGTGGAGGAAGATTTGAGTTTCCTAACGATATTTTGAATACAGAAGCTCTTTATGAAACATGAAACATGCATTTTATATTATTTTAACGGTCAAAACAGCGGCCGATGTCGGTCCGACGTCGCCCCAACGTCGGCCCGACGTCGGCTGGACCTCGGCTGGACGTCGGTACATGCGGGCATACCCGACATCCAGCCGACGTCGTGCCGAGGTTGGACCGACGTCGGTCCGACGTCGGCATGCCGATGCCGAGATGCCGACGTCACCCCGACGTCGGCCGACGTCGGCATGTTTATTGGGGTTGTAGGTTTGTAGGTTATAGCTTGCAGGT